AACTATCACTTCCCATTTCCACCTAACTCCAGCCCCTGGCAACCACCGTTCTACTTTGACTCTATGAATCTGACTATTATAGGCATCTCACGTCAATATTTGTCCTCTTGTGTCTGGCTTATTTCACTCAGCATAATGCCTTTCAAGGTTCATCCATGCTGTAGCATGTATCAGAATTTCACTCACTTTTAGGGCTAAATAATATTCCACTGTATGTATATATTGCATTTTGTTTATTCCTCCAGCTATCAATGGACATTTGGGTGGTTTTCACCTTTTGGCTATTGTGAATTACACTGTTATGAACATTTGGGCACAAAAATCTGTTTGAGTCCCTTCAATTTTCATGTATATACCTAGGAGCAGAATTGCTGGATCATATGGTAATTTTATGCTTAATTTTTTTTTTTGAGAAACTGCCATACTGTTTTCCACAGCTGCCACACCACTTTACATTCTCAGCAGCAATGCACAGTGTTCCAATTTCTCCACGTGCTTGTCGACACCTGTTTTCTGTTTTTATGATAACGGTCATCCTAATAGGTATGAAGTGGTATCTCATTGTGATTCTCATTTAAATTTCCCTAATTATTAGTGATGCTGGGCATATTTTGTGCTTATTGGTGATTTATGTATCTCCTTTAGAGAAATGCCTATTTAAGTCCTTTGCCCATTTTTTCAATTGGGTTTTTATTTTGTTTTTGAGTTTCAGTTCTTTCATATATTCTGGATATTAATCCCTATATGACTTGAAAATATTTTCTCCCATTCTGTAGGTTGCCTTTTCACTCTGTTGATAGTGACCTCTGATGCATACATATTTAATTCTGATGAAGTCCAATTTTTTTTTTCTATTGTTGCCTGTACTTCTGGTGCCATGCCCAAGAAATTATTGCCAAATCTCATGTCAAAAAGCTCTCCTCCTAGGTTTTCCATGGCTGTTATAGTTTTAACTCTTACATTTAGGTATCTGATCCATTTTGAATTAATTTTTGTATATGGCATAAGGTGAGGGGCCAACTTCATTCTTTTGCATGTGACTATTCGGTTTTCCCAGAATAATTTGTTGAAAGAACTATCCTCTCCCTATGGAATGGTCTGGGCATCCTCATTTAAAATCATTTGATCATACAGGCAAGGGTTCATTTCTGAGGTTTCTGTTCTACTCCACTGGTCAATATGTCTGTCTTTATGCCAGTATCACACTGGCTTTTTATTGAGATATAACTGACATGAAAGTGTCACAGTGTTTTGACCACTGTAGCTTTGTATTAAGTTTTGAAATCAGGACATGTAAGTCTTCCAACTTTGTTCTTTTTCAAGATTGTTTTTGCTATTTGGAGTGTCCTGAAATTCCATTATGACTTTTAGGATGAGTTTTTCTATTTCTGCAAGAAATATTGATTGTAATTTTGATAGGAACTGACTTTGTAGATCACTTTTGGTAGTACTGACATCTTAACAATATTAAGCCTTCTAGTCCATGGACACAGGATATCTTTCCATTTATTATTAGTCAGAATGACATTACAGTTTCAATTAAACAAATATTTACTGAAACCTTATTATGTTCTAGGCACTGCTAAAAATACAGTTCACTGTAACAGAAGCAGTCTTCCTTTCAATCCCCTTTTTCAATTCCGAAATTTATATAACAGATCAGTATTCTCAAAAAAGGGTTTACTTCTGGATTGAAGGTTGTGTCAGAAAACACACAATTGATTTAGTCTAAAACCCAGAGAATCAGGGTATTCAGTTAACTTCCAAAGATCATTTAATTTTTTAAAATAATATTTTCTATTCTTTTTTACATGGAGGGTGTAGAACCAAATGCTTAATAGAAAGATTTATATTTTGCATATAATTACGCAGACCACAAAGGAATTTGGGCCACTGTATCTGAGATCATAATTTCAGATGAAATCTCCTGTGTACTACTTAAGCTTACTCAGCTCATAATTCTGTTTCTTCATCACAGCATCGAATCACTAATCCTCAACAACCATCTCACAAAGTCCATTCATTTCACAAACATTTAACACGTGTCACCCTACACCGGGAACTGCAGCAAATGCTAAGTGTCAATGATCAAAAAGGAGGACCAAGAGAGCAAGTAGGGCTGGTTCATATACCCCAACCATCATCATTAGAAAAACAACTCAAATCGAATGTCCTGTGGTGAGTAGGTCACAATAGACAGTTTTAGGGCAGTACTTTGTGGAGGAACTGTAATCCCAGAGCCATATGCATTTCTTTATAATATTGCTTTGCATTAACATTTCGAGTCCACTCAGACACACTGGACCTAAAACAGTAAGAAAAAATGGTCCTATTTCTTACATTATAAAAATCTAACTTGTATTTTGAATACCTCTCATGTTAAAATCAGAAGCCTGCTTAATTTTTCCAAGAAAGTGAAAACTGGGGTTAAAAACAACAAAATAAAATCACAAATAAATAAAATCACAATGGGACAAATCCAAATCTGTTATAGAAAAATTAGGTACCAAACCTGCAATGCTCCTGATGGAGCTACTGATTAGCTGAGCATATGCATAAAAACTTGTGCTGCTGTAGAAATGTAAATGAAAAGATAAGCCTTTTCCTCCGTTTTTCTTAGGGTTTACTATATTCCTTACTTTTTCTCCCCACCTCACACACACTATTTTTCAAGAAACACTAATGAAAATGTACAGCCCAAATCTAGCAATCTAAAGATTCACCTGTACATGAAAATGGTACTTATGTTATTCAGTCTACTATTGGGAATAGGGTAAAAGCTTGTTCTAACAATTAGAAAGTCATAAAGAAAAAAACCTTCTAAAGTCAGGGAAAAAAACTAAAATTCTTTTGAACTAAAATTCAATTAAATGAAGCATTTAATTGCTTTAATATGCTTTGTTTTTTGCACATATGTGTATGACCTTCATAGATGGGTTATTCCAGGAGAAATGAAAGCAAAATAAGACATTGACAGAAGAAAAATGTATAGGAAACATCTGATTCTCCCCATTTTATATCCAATTGATGATCCACATATAATTTTATTATATAAATATTTTATATTTTATAGTTTCAGTTATTACCATTAAGGCTTTTATATAAAATTTACTGTGACTAAGAATTGTATATTACCTGAAGTCCACTGAACTGCTACTAGAATTTCTGCTGATATGATTTCTAATATAATTTTAGGTTAGATATAACCACAAATAGTTTTTTAAATGAAAACCAACAGTAATTCACCACTTTGGCAAGTTAAAAAAGTTTCTAGGCTACAGTTAAAAAAGAAAAGTTGGAACAGATAAGATTTGTGAGGTTTCTTGAATGAATTCTTATATCATTTTAAGATTAAGCTAGTAATACATGTGTTATTAACACATGTGGTTTCTCACAATAACAAATAAACAAGGTTAAAGTAATTATCATATGAAAATTTAGAGCTCTTAAAGTATAAGAAAATTAGTAAGTATGTTTGCAAAAATTCTACATTATGATTGAATTTGGGAAAGGAAATAGCATTTGCAAATGGAAAAAAAACCCAAAGGATACAATTGGCAGCTGCATTCCCTCTCCCTTGTTCTACCTCCAGGTCTTCGGCCCCCGTAGGCAGCTCACCACACCGGCATATACTATCCCCTCACCAGACCCCTGCTTCTAGCTCTCCTTCCACCTCTCTGCCCTTCACGTGTTGTCAGGTGATCCTCCTAATGGGGAATTCTCATTGTCACGCCTTTGCTTAGAAGATTATTCACCATAGACAGGCAAACTCCTGAGCTTTGCGGGATGCTCCACACCCACCTTTCTAGCCAGATTTCCCTTGACTTTGTGTCTCAACTGTGCACCAGCTGGACAGAAGTGCTTGCTACTCTCTGAAGTGGTCCACACTCTCCTGATTCAGCTCTTTTGCTAGTTCTGTTCCCTTTGGCTGGGATTCTCTTTCTATTCCTTGCTAAACTCCTACCCAATTCTCACAGCTCTTCTCCAATGCCATCTCCCTGTAAGGTCTTTTATTCCAGCTGGCATTGACCTTCTCTTTGATACCCCAATGGACTTTCAAGTGTCTCTGAAGGCAACAGAACTCCACCTTACATCAAATTACCGATCATCACCACTGAAAACTGTCTGAGGCAGAAGCTGTTTAAATTCCTGCTCTATGCCCTGAAGCAACTGGCACAGTGCCTGACCCATTGAAGGCATTGAAATATGTACTGAATCAAACTATATGGAGTTCTGCTCCAAGAAAGTCACTGTGAGCAAAATACTTCAAGTGCATAGATAGAAAATTAAAGGGCTGGTGATAGTATTTTGAGAAAAAGTCTCAGAACATGCAAACTTTATACCAAAGGCAGAAACAGTTTACTTTTGTAGGACTAAGATCTATAGGCTTTTGTGAGGTCATGATGGAAAAATAAACACACAAAACCTCTCTTTCCAGGTAAATAATAAATGAACTAAAGGAGAGTAACCTTTAAGAAATAAGCTTAATCATTTTGCCTCAAACTGTAGAAAGTAAAACAAGAAATGTTAACAATCCTGTTACAGTAAAATCATAAATAGCCCTAATGATGTAATTAGCTCTAGAAAAAGACTTGAAATAATTCCTTCCTTTGCGCATTTACTCCCAAGTAATAGGAAGCCAAGCAAAAAATCACTAGCTTTCTCTTAACTACAGGCTCAAATAAAAAAAAAAGAAAAAAAAATGAATGAATGAATGAATGAATGTACTTAATAAGACCTGATTAAGAGTTCACTATAAACCAGTGCTTCTCAAAATATTTGTGGGGAAGGACTGGTTTTTAAACATTTCCTCCGTTGTAGACTGATACTCTTATAAAATACAATAAAAATGCTGCAGCGATGTCTAAAGGTTGATGAGCACTTTCTATACTTGTCTTTGTCACACGCCAGTAATAAACTTTGCCATCTGCTCAGCTCCCGCAAATCCACATACATTCAACACGCTACCAAATATAAGGAAAGGTAGGATATGTGCCTACCTTCTGCTCTTGCACCTCAAACACTGCTTCATGGACACTGCAAGCAAAAAGTGAGGTAGGCAGATCACTTAAATCCATCATTTCTTCCAAATCATCTTCATTTTCACCAAAAATCATCTCTTCTTCCTCTTCTTGGTCACTGCTACAGAGATCTGACTGGCTATCATTCCAAGATTTCATAGTGTCCCTCAGCATTATCCCCTAAAAGCAGGTCTTTTCCGTTTTTAAAGTTCTAAGATGTCTACCAGGCATCTACTGTTAAAAAAAAAAAAAAAAAAGGAAAGAAAACAACAGAGTTAAGACTTTGAGGGCCAAATAATGTTCCAATCAATTCTCCAGACAGCAATTCATCGAAGGAAGCAATTTTATTTAGGAAAGGTAAATAAGCGTTCCAATCAACTCATTACAGTTTTCATAAAGGAATTCTACACATTCTAATTTGATTTGCTTAGCATATTTCCTGTAATATAGTTCACTAGCAATGATATAGTACCCAAAAAAGGCCAAAAGTTTTCTAGTAAAATTGGGGTGGGGCGGGGAAGAATACAAAATGAGATAACATCAATATGTACACCAGTTTACAAGCAGTAGGAAGGAAATGGGAACCAGAACTGCCTTCACATATTTGTTTGGGTTTTAGGTCTACAACACTGAAACTTTGACAGCGAAATAAAACCCACGCTGACTCACTCACCATCTGCACCCTGAAATATGGTCTGCGATGAGCTGGTTTTACCTTTCTTAACCAACTTGTTCTTTTTGAATATACCCTTAAAGAATTAAGTTACGCAGTACCAAAAGTACTATACAAAGTTAGTCTTTGTTAATCGTAGAAATATTACAGCAGGCAAAATGACACAGACGACAATCGAAAAGATGTCCTTTTCCCGAACATTTAAAAATCAGTCATTTTAACCCCAAGGCATGGAACTTATAGTGTCCCTCTATTAAAGAATGGAACAGTCTGTCTTATATGGATTATTTATGTGCATGTCTGTCTCCTCCAATGAACTGCACCCCATACCCACCAAACAGAGTGCCTCAAATACAACATACTTCAAGATGCTGAAACAGAATTCGAGAAACATCAGCCAAAAGAATTATGTGATTGTGATTACTATTTATTACCTCAATATTACCCAATTTATCTTTTATTTCAAAGAACACAAGGATGCAAATATATTGCTTACGAAGAGTATGTTACAGAATGTTAATTATAGGATAAAAATAGTGTTTTGTTTTTGTTGCTGTTATTCTACTACATCAGTCAGGAAAGACTAATTCTAAAAAGTAAAATCTTTGCTCATTTTTATAAACATTTTCTGAATGCCTATTGCATGCCAGGTATTACTAGGGATATTAGATAAATAAGACATGGTTCCTAGCCTCGTTGAGCTCCCACAAAGCAGGAATTTCTTCTCAACAATGTTAACCACTCCTAAAGGATCTTGTACCATTAACCGGCTCCTATACTTTCAATTTCTCTTTCTCCATCTGTCCCTTCTCCTCAGCAAATATACCTATTCAAGATTTTCTGTCCCCACCGACCAATGTTAAAGAAAATCTTTCTTTCAGATTCTACCTGCCCGTCAGTCTACCTGTCTCTTCTTCCCCTTTTCCTACCAACTTCCTGGAAAGAGCAACCTGTATGTGCTGAGTTCACTTCCTCAACTCTAGCCGCTCCTGAATTCAGTGCAGCTGGACTGCACTGCCACTTCCTTTTGGCTGAAGCTGTCCACCCTATGGACATCAATGGTTTCTTCATAGTTAGAACCTAATTTCAGGCCTCGGCTTATCTCCGCAGCAATGGATCCTGCCACCCACCCAGTCACTCTGGGGCGTCCCTGTGCCCCTGCCTTCAGGGGCCCAGTCTTTCCTCGCCAACTGTCTTTGTCACTGGCTCCTCTTTCTCCACTTGCCCTGTGCCCTTTACGACTTCATCTCTTTGAGGTTTCCTCCCCATCTTCTTCTTTCTGGGTGGTTTTATCCACACCCGAGCATTTAACTACTTCACCACCAGTGCTTCTCAATTGTTTCCTGCCTCCCTGTGGTGCACATATATAACATGTGTGTATCAGTACTATCTCTCGTTTCATATGATGATTCTTAAGCCAAGAAGGATGTCACCAAAGTTGAGAGGGAAGCCAGGGCAGAATCTTGGGCAATGAAGGGATGGGTAGTTTGGAAAAAGTACATGACCCCAGGAGATTGTTATCTACCCCTAGGTCTTTCCTGCCTATTCACACTGAAAATCACTACTCTCTAGGATAAGTCAGACTCAACCTCTCTCTCCTGAGTTCTAGGCTTCTATTTTTAGCTTTCTATTGAATATATCTACTCGGTAGCCCACAGGTACAATTGTTTTAAATTTATTCATTTAATTAGGTTATTGTGCTAGAAATCTTCAATCTGGAAAGTGGCCTGGTGATGGGGGAAATGGTACCTCATTATGGCTTTCATTGGAAGCTTTTCTTCAAGACTAAGTTGCCAGGTAGAGCTCATAGCTCTCATAGCACTTTGTTCATTTCTCTGTCGTATACTTATCTTATGACTATTTGTTTATGAATCACTCCTCACTACCAGTGAGTGCTTTCGAATCCCCGGTCCCTGGCAGTTTCTAGCTCACAATATATGCTTAATAAGGTCTGCTGAATGAAAGCAGATAACGATGTGTTTACACCACTGATACGTCAGCACAGACAGAGGAACATTTAATTCTGCATGAGATTAGAGACAGCTTCCCAAAGGAGGTTATGGTGAGACTTAACGGATG